AATTCTTGGAACTTTAGATAGGGCCACCTCTTCGCTGATCATGTTCTCCTGATACTTTGCTAGTTTTTAAAAATCCTGATTTCTGCGATTTGAAGTTTAAAGTTCTCGATATTCTAATTCTTGGAATTTTTGAGAAATTCTTGGAAAATGAGACAGTGCCACCTCTTTGCCGATCATGTTCTCCTGATACTTGGCTAGTTTTTAAAAATCCTGATTTCTGCGATTTGAAATTTAAAATTTACGGAATTCTGTTTTTTGGGAAATTTTGGAAAATTCTTGGAAATTTAAATAGTGCTACCTCTTTGCTGATCATGTTCTCCCGATGCGTTTTCAATTTTGGAACTTTTCGGGATATAAATTCCGAAAAGTTAAGTCCTCGTAGAAATTTTTGGAACTTTTGATACTGCGACCTCCTTGCCAGTCATGTTCTCCTAATGCTTTTTCAATTTTGCGGGATATAGATTTCGGAAAAAAGGAAATAGCTCCGGAAATACAATATGTTCCGTAAACGGGGTTACAGTAAAATTTGTGGCGTTAAACTTAACTCAATGAGTAGAGATTCGCCACTGCTCCTACTCAATATACGCCGTTGATTTAATTAAACAATGGATGAAAAAAAACCATACAAGTTGAATAAAAGACGTAGATATTTTTCTAACTGCAATTTGTGTTAAGATAATAAATTTTACTACACGCGATAGTTAAAAATAATAACATGTAATTGAGTAGGAGCAGCGGCGGACTCTCCCTGCTCATCAACTAAATTTAACGCTACAAATTTAACAGTGAAACTTCGTAAATCGCCCTGTACGCGCGCAATATTAATTCTAATTACAATTGCTCAAGAAGGCAGTGCTACGTCTTGGCCTCTCCTTCCCGATCGATTGCCCAGCAACAATATAGTTATCGTATTGCAATGCTAATGATGATTGATAGCTTTACAATGTAATTAAATGACATAATACTAATAACAGCGATTGACGCTGAGCGTCTGGAAATATATTGGAGACGCTCTTCGGTGCGCGCTCTCTCTCTCTCTCCGTTCTGCAATTAGGAAATCGGAATCGCTCAGCTCGCGCGGCGCGGCGCACAGACTCTTCAATCATCTGCCGCGTACTCGGCGTACTACCGCACCGCCGTGTCGGCGCATAAACGCGAACCCATGTCACTCTAGGCCTGTAAATACGAGATCGGCTCTCGCGCCAAATGTTAACGCCGGCACTTCCTGCGTCTCGACGCAGCCGTCACTTTGTGACAATCACTCCGAGCGAGACTGTATTCGTTAGCAGCTTAACGTGCCTTTTTTTTTTACTCACCGTAATCGTCCACTCTTTACTGTACGTTCTTCAAGAGTCTGCTTCGAGAGGATAGTAAAAGCTTTTACTATTATCTACTGATTACTGCTATTATTCGGCAGGGCCGACGATCAGACCGGTTAACGACTGAGCGTAAGGAAACGCTAATCTCTGTCTGGGAGAAAGGGGACGTTGATAGAGATAGCCGAAAAATCCGAAAGATTTCAATATTATGACGGTCCGACCGGTCGGCGCGACCGTCCCCGCTCGCAAGCGTAAAGACGACGTGCTCTTTCTCTCCCATGAAATAGCGAGTAGTTAAAGCGGAGCTCTATTGGCCGCCCGTAATATTTCGCCGGTCTGCAGACAACAGTTATTTGTGTCACGAGGATAATCCTTCCCGGAGTAGCTTATGCGTTTCGTTTATAAACTCACGAAAGCGGCCGGGATGATCCGACTTTGCTGATACCTAGCAAGATGCGTGCTCCCGGTTGTTCTTTTGTGAGTTTTCACGATCGGTACCATTTCTCATACGCGGAAGCATTCAAAACTCGGACGGTTAGTGATAATTGACAATAGGTAAGGTTTCTTCGGTAATTGCGTGACCGGCGTGTGGGCATGTAACTGTATCGTATTTTCCGCCTAACGCAGTGCTATTTAGCGGCTGTTTATTCGAACAGGTTTTTAAGACCGGGATTTACAACGTGAGGATACGTTTAAATGATTAATAACTTAGGAACGGATAATGACCCCTGGATTCATCAATGACAAATCGACCCCAAAGTCTGCGGGAAGGATCTCGAGATGAAGGTTGGCTGGCCAAGTCCGGGACATTCCGGTTTCTTTGTCGGGACGCAGGAACGAACGCGCACGGGCAAAGGTAAGGGTGATCGTTCACGAAAGCGTGGCCGGTGCAACGACACGCATCGGCTTGCGACGGGCTTGCGAGCGAGGGCGACGTTATCGCCAGTTGCACACACCATGTGGCTGCGGTGCGGTGGTTAGGGGCGGTTAGGGCAGTGCGCCGCAAGGGTGGTCAAGCCGCAAACGAGACCACCGTCCTAGCTATCTGCTATCTGGATAACCGCCATCGCCGCCGTCGTTCTCACTCTCGCTCACGCTCGCTCTCGCTTCTGCCGTCCCCGTATCGTCCTTTCCACCTTCGGTACGATGCGCGTGTACGACGACAGGTAGTCCGCAATGTCGCGCTGCCGCTTATCGCACTAATTCTGAAATCGAGCGATAATCGTGCGAGCGAGACTACGGCGCTATAACGAGGTGCCGCGACCGCATTCTGTCGCTTCGACGACGCTGATCCGACGTGCGAAATCGGATCACTCTCGCGCCAAGGAGGATCTCGTCCATCTGGGTGTCGCAATGCATCTACGTTCGCGGCGCGCTGTGGCATTTCCGCGTCTGCGGACGCGATGCGGCGCGGCGTTGCGACGCTTCGCATCGCGTGAGAGACGAGGGGAGGAGAGTCGGCGAAGAGGAGAATGATCGTGCTCGGGATAACGGGCTGAATGATGGAGGGGGGGGAGAGAGAGAGGGGGGGGGCGGAGGGAGAAAGGCAGAGGGAGAGAAGGGGGCACGCGTTGGCGCGTTTATTAGTGTCCAATTGTAACGAGGAGAGTTGTGTGGGGGGCAGCGCGAAAGCGAGCGCGTGAACTCGCTCATTTGCGTGCCTGTTAATTTGTCGCGTTGTGTGCGCGCCGTGCCGTGCCGCGCCGCGCCGCGCGGAGAGTTGCCGCCGACGTGACGGACAGAGAGAAAATTAGCTCTTTGTGCACGAGTGCCACCAACTGTTGGATCGCGTACCGCCATGAGGATGCGGCTGACGACGACGATGACGACGACGCGCCATGCGGACGATCATCCGCAATGAATAATCTTCGAATCGCGCGAGCCAGCCCCCCCAATACTTTTGGGCGATCGTTCCCGAGGCGCGGGGGATGAATGAAGCGGCAAAGAGAGGCGGCGAAAAAAAAAAAGACAGAATCGAAACGGCCAAACGAAGGGATTACGTGTAGTTGATTGTAGTTACACGTATTGTCGCGGACGTTATTTTATAGGCTGTCGCGCGCAACGCGGCGCGATAAGTTTACGCACGCGAATAATCCGGCGCGAATAAACTGCGGTAATACGCTTCGCGCGTAACCTGCCGCTGCTCGTCGTCGAATTAACCGTAATAACCGACGCATTTAGCCGCGATATACAAATCTCGCGGCTCCAATAGTCGCCACCATCACCACCCTGCCCCCCCCCCCCCCCCCCCCCCCCCCCCCCCCGTA